ATCAACCACACTGAGCGGCGTTATTTAAGGAGGAATGTGCTTATAGCTATACCTATGGTTATGGTTAAACTGTGTGGATGCCACATTAAAGAAAATTGAATAGATGTCATAAATAATTAATTAAAATCATCCGAAATCCTGAAAAAATAAGTGTGAATTATCATTTTGATGTTATGAAATTGGTTTACATCCGAAGATGCAGGCGCAGTTCATGGCCCAGAGACAAAATAGAAATAACGGAAATATTTAAATGTTTGGCAATGCAAAATCTCTGATTTTGAAGGTCGTGATAATCGTTATCGCTGATAAAGGTAACCATAACTGCTCCAAAAAATGCTGTTATTTGAGGGGCGCAAAAAGTCTCTAATTATACGCTAATTAAAACTATTACATCATATCATATCACAGGTATGTAAAGTTAAGAGACATACATAACAAAATGAACACAGATAAACTGAATAAGCACTGATCTATTGACATTTTTTTGCAATTTATGGAGCCAAGTCAATCCACAAAATCAAATTAAAGCTCCTCAGGCAATGATTCACCAGAATTTAATGTAAATTCGATCTATCACGATCGTCGAAGAAATCATTCAATGAATAAAATCAAGGGATGTTACACCCACTAAATTTTGTACACCTACTGCATTTGACTGCATTGATTGCATCAAAGATGATAGTTGACTGCATTGACTTTTGAGCAATATCTTACAAGATCGCAGGTTCCACTGGCAGCGACTGCTTACGATTTTTTGGGAGTGTGTATGGAATATACGCTTCTGCATGTGACTGCAAGGAATTTATAAAAATTGGAAGCAACTGTATTATGACTGCATGAGAATGAATGGACTGCAGAAGAATGTATGGACTGCATATACATGAATGTATGATATTTGTACACTTACTGCATGAGTGAAACACCCCTCGAATAAAATGCTTTCTCTGCTAGGTATGCCTTTATAACTTCTTTGGCCCTGGGACCTGCCATACTACGGACACTCTCTGGGAAACTGTTGTAGATTTTAACAATAGTGTAATGCACATTTTTCTGAATATAGCTAAAGTTACATTTTTGTGTTGACAAATTTGACTTATTTTCAGTTTCATATGCGTGATTGATTGATTCCCCTTCATAAATATCCCCTTTAGTGTGTACAAACATACAAGAATCCAGTATATACAATCCTGTAAGGGTAATACTTTTTTTTGTGAATAAATACGTTTTTGCAACTCTCTCTTGGTTTTATCCCAAAAATGGATTGAATTCATCTTTTTTGAAGAATTAAAATCTCCCCACCCTAATTCTTGATTGGATGAAGGCATGACAAAACCCTCAAGGCAAAAAAATATCTGGGCACACTCACTGCGACACTCTCGACATGCGCTCTCCAATCCAACCATTTGTCAGTCTTTATTCCAAGGAAACCCATTTTATCGGATATTTCAGTTTCCATATTTATGTAAAAAAACGTGAACTTGGTGTCTTTGCGATTACCAAAAACTACACACTGAGTCTTTGGCACATTTAAAAGAAGATCAAAGTCTAAAAAGTATTTTTCGAGAGCCTCACGGGCTGAGTGCACCCTATTTATTAACATCTCCCCAGCATCCTCCTCACTAAATATCGAAGTTGTGTCATCAGCTTACAAAACTGTATGTTCTCCCATTATAGCAGACAACTCGTTGGTGTACAAAATATACAACAGAGGTCCCAAGATGGGACACCCCTCTCGACCCTGATCCTTGACAATATTATCAAAATATCATGAATTGACTTTACAAGAGCATTTTTCAATAAATTGGGATAGATTCTCGTTTTGAAACAAAGATTTATGATATGCCTCAATGGGTCTGATATATATTCTGCAACGACTTTAATTATTTTAATAGGCAAATGATCATCTTCTGTTTTTTTTTTTAAAGTTTTTTGATAGTTTGAAGAACTTCCTGGGAATTGCTTGGTCGCAGATACACAGATTGCAATGACCTTTCAGGCAGAGAGGCATTGCCACTATTTCTGTTTTTATTGATTTCCGGGCATGATTTTATAAAGTACTTGTTCAGCTGAGCTACAATTTCATAGTGATCACGGTATTTCTATGAGAAGTTTTTGAGAGTTGTATTGTTCTGTTCTGTTGCTCGCAGAAGTTATGTTCCTTACTAGTTGCCATATTGCTTTGACCTTATTTTCGGACTCTTCAAGAAATCTTTGACCCGACAAAATCTTAGCTTTTTTTATGACTTTTTATTAAGATTCCACTATATGTATTAAAAAAAACTATTTGAAACTAATCCCCTAGTCTTTTCAAAATAAATCACTCTTTTCTGTCTACAGGACTTTTTTATGCCACTCGTGATCCAGTGCTTCTTTTTCGTTTTTATAGAGCATTTTTTAATAATAAATATTTTTATAAAGAGGTTAAGAATCAAATTTATAAACAGAGAGTAGGCCTCATTCACAGACTCTGAATTATATACCAGCGACCAATCAATTGCCATCATCTCCAATCTGAAAGATAAAAGTTTGCTCCTTGGAAAGGCTCTCTTATATGACGTATATTTTACTTTGTCTTTGTCTGTACCTAATCCTTTAACACTAATTATCTGCGAATGATGATCAGAGAGTACTGAGTTTAAAACATAACTTGAAAAACCCTCTACGAAATTACAAAAAGTATTATCCAACAAAGTTGATGAGTTCAGACATTCCCGGGTAGGTCTAAAGATACATAGACTAAAATTATATGCATTAAATAAATCTAATAAATGCTAAACTTGGTGATTTTCCTGATCTAAGAAATTCACATTAAAACTGCCTGCAATAACAACCTTATAGCCTGAAAAATCACAATAAATTACATCTAGTACCTGCTCAGAGGGCTCAATGAAAGTTTCATAAGAACCAAGACCCCTTCAATACTCCTAGTAGACATTCCTGGAACCTTGAACTTCCTTGAAGCCTGCTTCACTACAGCATTTTAACAAATTGGGCACAGTCCTGTGCCAGCCAGTGTTCGCTAAATAACATGAGTCCAGGCTTCTGGCACATTCCATCCAGGAAACGTCTATGTCCAATATTTTATTCCTCAGAGACTGTATATTTTGGTGCCATATTGTCAAGACACTCTGTTTGTGTTTCTTGTGATGAATCCCGATACTTTCTGAGCATTAGAATTATTTGACAAAATATGCCCTGAGAAAGACAAAGCAGGATCAAAAATAACTCCCAAATGTTTTTGCCAGACACTCTATTAAGTTTTTCATTACCTCAAAGTAATCATCAGGATTATTATTATGTGTGAATGACATACATATACATTCATTTAAGTTCAAACTCCAGTTCAAATCAAAACTCCTTTCAGAAAACAAAATGCAGCAATATCCTGCAGTTCACTCTGGACTACTCTGGAGTACTGCGCAAACCGTAAAACAACTTGAAATATTTCTACTCCCCCTTGTTTAATGCAATCAAAAACAAAAGAGGAAATCAGGTTTGACCCCTGTGGAAGACCAAATCTGCTGCTGAAAACTAAAGATTTGCAACCCATAATTTCAACATACTGATATCGTTTACTTCAGTCATAACCTAAATATGTATTTAGGTTTTCACACAAGCCTTGTGTTCAACTTTAAAATCTATTTAATAAATGTATTGCATTGCTACAAGTGTGTTATTTTTAGAATGGAGCCGTCCGAAAAGGGACAGCCCGAAGTTGTTGATGTTGAAATATATACGGGTCTCACCCCGCTTGTACAGTACTTGCATAGACTCTCGCCAAAAAAGGTCAAGTCGTCCGGCAAATTATTAGTTAATAATTTTCGTTCTTGTTTCTTTCACTCAAGTCATAGTAATTGACATACACAGTCCATAGAGGCACGTTTTTGCATTATTGCAAGCATCTTTCTAGTCTTCTTTGACTAAAACATGAGAAAGTTTTTCATAATAGTTATCTGAAATTAATTTACTTAGCAGTCATTTATCAACTATTCCTTCCCTATACTGAAGTTGGTGAGGTTAGGTGATCCATTTTTATAGGGAAAAATATGAGTCAGTCAGCAGAGCTGCTTAACTGCTATGTAGGTATGCAAAGAACTTTGTATTTCTAAGGAGGATAAGACTATATTTGACACTATCTTATCCAACTGTTTACTGTTTGCCGATGATCTGAAATTTTTTACAATTATTGAAACCACGCAACACTGCTCAGATATGCAAAACGACATTGACTCCTTGTCTTCTTGATGTATCACCAATAAACTTCTGCTAAATAATATTAAATAACAATCTATGACCATTTTCAAGTTTCCTAACGAAGTGAAGTTTGCATATAGATTTGAAAATACCAATCTTTCTAGTGTAGATTCCATACCAGACCTTGGGGTAATTATGGACAATCGACTCAATTTTAATAAACATATTGACCAAATTGTTCAACCATCTTTGAAAACACTAGGTCTACAAAAGATTTCGCAAGTACGGAAAGCTTGATCACTTTGTACAACTCATGATAAAATCAAAATTACAATATGTAGCTCTGATATGGTTTCCCGATTATGATGTTCATGTCGACAGGCTCGAATATGCCCAGCGCAGATTTCTCAAGTTCTTAAGCTTCAAGCAGGATGGTATATATCCTCCACAGGGATATGGCCACAAACTATTGCTGGAAAAATTTAACTTATATATAAATATCTTGTCTTGAGACCACCCAGACAATATTTTAATTTCAATTCCCTCATTTATTTTCCATAAACAATAGTTTGCCACTTAAGACCACCTTTCCATGTCTTTTCACAAATGCAAGGCCCGACAAATCCTCTCAAATTATCTCTGCTATATTCTGTTTGAAAAAATAAAATAAAAAATCAATAATAATAATTACCTATTGTATTTTTCTAGTAAAAGTTCCATGCCGATGTGACTTGGCATAAACAATTCAAGTTCGCTTCTTGACTTTATTCAAAATCAAACGACTAATTTCTATTTTTTTTTTCTAGCTCCAAGATTACAAGGAAGGCGTAAAACAAGAAGCAGAGGAACTAGTATTAAAAGAATTCCCTGAAACCATTATGAAACTCAACAATTTGCTGAATACTCCGGCATTCAAAAATCGCGCTTTCAAGGACTTCCGTCAAGATCTTGAAATTCCCATTCCAGATCCTATTCTTGTCACCGCCAATGAAGTTGATCCGCCAGCTAAGAGAACGAAAAGGGAGCAAAGTCCGGAAAGCCATTCTACTGGGGCCAGCGTTAATATCTTACCCATGGGTTCTGTTCCGTGCAATAAAACTCTGGTGGACCTGATTAATATTGTCAAGCCACATATACGAAAACTTGTAGAGGACTCTAACATGGTGAGTATATGTTTTTCTTTTGTTTGAAACTTTTCTAAAGTGTTACATTTTTAGACAAAAATGTGGATATCATTCATGATACCAAAAATTGAAGATGGCAATAATTTTGGTGTATCTATTCAAGAGGATACACTGGCAGAAGTACAATCTGTGGAATCCGAAGCAGCTGGCTTTTTCGACCAACTTTCTAGATATTTTATTGCCAGGGGTATGTGTCGAATATATTTGAAAGAAAGCTACTTGCCTCTTTAAACATCTATTATCTGTATAAATGGTTATTTAGTAATAGGCATTTTTATTTTTTTTGTATTTGACTACTCACATATCGTTAATACTAATATGCTTCCAAAAAAAACTATTTGATTTTTAATATTAGATTCGATTTGTTGAATATAAAAAAATATATTGGATTATTCCCAAAAATATCCAGATTCGTAGAGTTTTCAATGTTTTATTTATTTTTTTCAGGAAAGCTGGTCTCCAAAGTAGCAAAATATCCGCACATTGAAGACTACCGCGTGGCTGTGCAAGAGTTTGATGAAAAACAATACCTCAGCTTGTGGTTGGTCTTGTCAGAGACCCGCAACCGTTACTGCGGTCTACACGACATCGTCATGAAGAATATCGACAAAATCAAAAAACCGCGATCATCTATTGCCACGGAATCATTGTACTAATTGTCAATCCAAATTATTTTTTATAAATTTTTGTACTCATATCTACCTACTTCTTATGCTACGTAAAAATTGTTGTTATTTTCATATTTAGTTTGAAAATGTACTAGACTATTATTAGTTCTTTGAAAATATACCAATTGCGTTTGACATTTTTGCTTTGTTTCTGTTGTAATTTTACAATTTTACAGGGTCATGCAGGAAAAGTTGGTTATCGGTTACAAGCTCTTACAGGGTGGCTCTTTTAAGAAGGGCGTATAGGTACCTTATCCCAAAATCTACAAGGGTTGTAAAAAATCAAATACAAACGTTGTTTCTACGAAAATTATCTACAATTTTTTTGCATTGTTTTATTTGCCACTACTAGACAGGGTGATTTACAAGCCCATGTATTAGAAGTTTTTGAGTTTGCAGGGGCCTCACCTAAAACATTTTCAGATCTTCAACCATGCAGGGTGTACCAAGTGTAAGCACTAACTTTCTTATTCCAAATAGAAACTTGCATATTTTTCAGTAGTTCGATTGGCCTTGCAATTTTGAGTTTGGACAACCCAAGTTTAGTCAACTTGTCTTTTATGTACTTTTTTACATAATTGTCATTTTTTGTTTTAATTTGCCGCTGCCTGCAGCTGTTTAGGAAATGCAAGTTTTCTCAAATAAAAAACCAAACTTATAGGATAAGTAGCTGAAAGTTCAGGCTGACTCCTGATGTGTCATTAGTTTTTTTTTTTTTTTTTTTACGGATATGCGCACTCGCAAGGAAATGTCCTATCACGCTCGAGAAGCGGCAAGTGCGCGGAAATGTCGGTGTATGTTGGTCTTGAAACGGTTCAGGTTGTAACCTGCAGGGAAAACCGTCGTAGGGAGTTTATTCCACAGCGATGCTGTTCTCCAGAGATATGAATTCTGATATAATGAGGTTCTTGGTGCCTCTAGTTTGACAGTAAATTCATGGTTACCGTCTGTTTGACGGGTTCGCCTGGTAGGTGCTACTCTCGGTGGAATCATACGTGCCAACTCTTCAGAGCATTTTCCGTGATAGTACCTGTAGAAGAGAGATAAATCGCCCACCGTTCTGCGATGTTCGAGACCATCCAAGTTACGAGTAAGTGCGGGGTCATTGATCAGCTTGATAGCTCGTTTTTGCACGGTATTCAAAAGCATTAAGGTATGTTTGGGTGCTGCACTCCATATATGTGAGCAGTACTCCATAGTTGGTCGAATCTGGGCTTTGTAGAGTGTCAGCAATTGGCTTGGTGTGTACAGATGTCTTGTACGAAATAGCACCCCCAGCTTTTGGGAGGCCCTTTTAGCAATATCTGCCACGTGACTGTGCCAAGACATGTTGGTCTCTGCAGTAACCCCCAAGATGTTCAACTGACTCTGTAATGTGACAGCACTTCCAGATAGCATGATGTTTGGCTCACCGGTGCTGGTCTTTTTTGAAAACAGAGCTGCTTGGGTTTTCTGCGCGTTGAACTGTACAAGGTTTTTGTTACCCCAGTCCTCTATTATCTCCAGGTCGTTATTTATCTGCGATATTTGAGTTAGTCTAAGATGATGGAATTCACGTGCGGAAAGACCTGTCGGTGGTATGAGTGAGGAGACTACATTGCCATCGTCTGCAAAGCAATAAAGTGGATTTACTGTTTTATCTATAAGGTCATTTATGTAAATCAGAAAAAGAGTTGGCGAAAGGATTGCTCCCTGTGGCACACCAGCATTTATTTGGTAAGAGTTGGAGTTCTGGCCATCCAGTGCAACATAAATGGATCTGTCCTTTAGGTAACTTTCAAACCAAGTGCAAAGTTTCGGCGATAATCCCATTGCTTTGAGCTTGTTGAGCAGATTTTCATGCCAAACTTTGTCGAATGCTTTAGATATATCTAAGGCAATTGTTCTTGTTTCACCCCGCAACTCAATCGCTTTTTGCCATAAGTGAGTGACGTATGTAAGTAAATCGCCAGTTGACCTATATTTTCGAAATCCGTATTGCTTATCGTTGATAATTTTGTACTTTTCCAAGTACTTGGTTAGGTGATTGTTCACAACTCTTTCCATTACTTTTGATATCACCGGAAGTAGAGCAATTGGTCTGTAGTTTAACGGATCTGTCTTTTTTCCTTTCTTTGGAATGGGTTGTACTGCGGCAGACTTCCATGATGATGGATATACTCCTTGCCTGTAAGACAAATTGAATAATTTTGCGAAAGTTGGGGTGAGTTCGTTGGCGCAATTTTTGAGTACTAGTGCACTAGTGCATTAGTGCACCCATTTTATACCATATGGGTGCAGGCTACAAACATCGGAATCAATAATGGTGCCTATGCCTAACTCAAGAAATCCTGTAACATGTCAACACATTTCTTGATATGTCAACTAAGCCATTCAAACACAAGACATGCAGTACAATGAATTACCCAGAAAATAGAAACAACAACAGCAAAAATAGTTATTTTTCTCCTGATTACATCAAAAGCGGCTTTTTAATGACACGGTGTATTTTGACTGCCTAGTCACAAAAAGTTAACTTGTCTATGCCATGTAAAATTCAATTTTCTTTTGAATGGTATCAAAAAACATGATAATGAACCGTGAGATAGGGTACCGTTGATTGGAGTCAAACTGTAATTACTGTCTGGCGACTTTTCAGCGTTATTTTCACAACAAAACCTTTCAATATCTCAACTGCCAGACACAAAATAAATGCGAAAAGTTGTATACTTTTCTCTTGCAAGTTGATTCCAATCCTCACCTTTTCAGCCATTAAAATTTGAAAAGCATCTGGCATTTTTTTACGGGTGAATTATTTATCAATGTCACTCTTTTATTCAGAAGCCAAAGAATTTAAGATCATAAAAAACGTAAATGCCTCATGTAAATGAAAATTTATTTTCCATATTTTCGAACGGGGTGCAGGCATTAAAATCACTTATATTCTAATCAGCTAACTAGCCACATTCATACCTCAAAATGCCAGACAAAAAAAAAATGACTCCACTCATGGGTATACCCTATCTCACGGTCCATAAGTGCCATTTTTAAAAAATTACTTTTTGACCATTATTGATTCCAATGATCGTAAGTCGTCTGCACCCATGGTATTAAATGGGAGCATGACATCTATGTCAAAAACTATAAAATATATGTTGACAAAACCTGGGTTGTCCAAACTCAAAATTGCAAAGGCAAACGAACTATATTGAAAAAGATGCAAGTTTCTATTTGAAATAAGAAAGTTACTCCTTACATTTGGTACACCCTGTATAGTTGAAGATCTGCAAATATTACGCCGGAATGATTGATTATGGCTGCAAACAAAATTTGAAGTTCCTAATCCCCCTGCAAGCTCAAAAACTTCTAATGCGCGGGCTATGTAAATCACCCTGTATACAGAGCGATCGAATAACGTTTCAATTATTTTAATAAATTTTTAGATAACCATTTGAAAGAGAAATTCAATGATATAGTGAGTGTGTATGATGTACCTACCGTTTCGAACTTACTAGGATTTGGGGTAGTTTTCAACAGTCGTTGTTTCGTTACTCATATCTTTTGAACCTTTTTTCTGCATTATATTTTCCAAAATAATGCTCCTCTTTAGACTATAATAGAGAGTTATTGGACGTGCAATAAGGACAAGCCTTATTTTGACATCTGCGCATGCGCATTTGGGTCCGCAAATAAAGATTCTCTTAATAAGGTTACTGCTTGTCTTTATTTGTGTATGGTTAGTGCGGGCCAGTAAATTTCCCTTATTTCAAATTTCTGACATTTTGGACGACTTTGACGTTTTGCTTTTCGACGATGACGTAATTTTACATAGAAAATTTATTTTTTACAATAGTTTTCCATTTTACTGTGGGTTACATCAAAAAATAAGTATCAGCAGAAAATCACAAACAAAAATAAACACTTTTTGAGGCTGAAATTTATAAACATAGCTATCATCTGTCAAAATTATGAATACAAAATAAGGTAATACTCTAGCACCTACTACAGTCTTCCAATAACTGTTTTTTTCTTGGAAAAATAGTGCTGATGCACTAATAAAATAACGTAGATCCTTAATACTGCGAGGCAGTATTTATTAGTTCCAATAACTCTCTATTATTTAAATTTAAAATATTTATTTAAAAAACGCCCCAGACAGCACACAAAGTCTTAGAGACGTCTCTTTTAGGTCTGCATTACGTCTGAACGTCGGAAGACCAAAAAAATACGTTGTTTTGAAGACGTCCATAACATCTCCTGAATTCGCATCTTAAAGACAACTGATTCACACCATTTTGTACCACCGGGCCTAAAAGTGAATAATGGTTTATGTATTAAAAAGAAATTCAAAGACGCCTTCAAGATATCTCGTTGAAGAGGTCTTTTTGAAATGTCGTCCTAAAAACGTCAGAGGGCAGACGTCTGAAAGACTTTGGGTTGTGTAACATACGACGTCTTTGAGATGTCTTTAAGACGCCTCAAAGACGCAAGCAAGTCGTTTGTGGACATCTTGGGGACGTCTTTAGGATGCCTACAAAAAATTTCCACAGAATTAGTTTCTCATTCAATTTATTCAATTTAGAAGTTACTGGAAACCACTTAATTATGCCCAGTTTACTCATCTTCATTCAAAGTTGCTGGTAATCTATCTGCAAGATGAATTTACCGTTCTAGAATTTTATTAGTCGGCCAATAACTGGCCGTCCAATGGAATTACAGATTGCGTTTTTATCTGTCAGATTGCATACCCGACAGTTTATAAACCGGCCCTTAGAATGCTACAGAACACTTGAGAGCTTTAAGCCGCTTTCCAGCTGACGCTTTTGAGCACGCAATCGAGCTTTTTCGCGCGCAAATGCTTCAAGCGCGTTTTCGTGTTCCAGCCGTACTGCGCTTCGAGAGCCTGCTAACTTTTGCGTTTCAAACACAGAACACTGTGCTGCACCGTGCTTGAAGCACACAGCTGGAAAGCGGCTTTAATAGGCGTTCAAAACACTTAACATTCAATTGAGAATTTCCAAAAGCATTCTGCAGCATTTCAGAACAGTTTGGGAATTCCAGAACCATTTTAGAACGCCCCAAAACATTCAAAAACCTATTTTCAATTTCCATAAGTATTTTAGAACAATTCAGAAGTTTGAAACCCATTTTAGGACGCTC